CAATTATTAAACCCAGATAATAGTGACAGATGGTATTTAAACTCTCTGGCTCTTTGGCAACCATCTGTCCTAAGATTTTTTTTTTCTGAGTTCACTTCTCCTAGGTATTTCATTGTAGAATAGAAGGCACGCACCCCTTAATAGCAGAGAACTGGTCAACCTTTGCAATATGGAAGAGACTAGAAATCAAAGCTATTAAATGTGTGGTTTGCTTCTTGACCTCTCTAAAATATCATTGCTGCTACATTGTAATAACACACAGAACATTCCAGAAAAAAATATGGCCTAATAGGTAAAACAAAAGCAAGGGCAGAAACATGGCAGAGTGGAAAAATCAAAGTTAGAGTCAGGCAGACCTGGGATCAAACGTGGTTCAGCCACTTGAGAGCTGTGTGCCATGGGCACGTTCTTTATCCTCCTGGGGGAAGGCTCTGGTTTGCCATCTGGAAACCGAGTAATAGTCCTCAGAATGAATGTGGGTTTAATGAGATAATGCAAGGGAAGGGCCCAGCCCTGGGTCTGCCACATGACAGATCCATGTTACGCCCTGAGCTTCTTTTTTCTATGTTATGGAGGATGGTGAGCCTTGTATGACCTTGAAGGAAGGTTAATCATGACTTCTAGCCTTCCACTGAGAAATGTCTTTCCTCCCTCTAGTCTTCTCATTATCCCCATTTCTAGAACCCTACACGTATTCAGAGCTTCTACCTCAGCTCTGGCCTCTCTTCCCCACCAGGATTTAAGTTAATCCTCTAGAGAAGCATCTTGCATATAGTAACCACTCAATAAATTATTTGTAGACTAAATGAAAAACACCTGTTACAGGGTTTCCAACATGTGACATGTACCACTGATGGTATGAAATGATTTCAGGGGTTGGACCTGGACTAGATTTCTTAATAATTTTAATGGTTATAATATATATATATATAATTTTAGTGAATATTAGATAAATAAATAACTGGCTCATTAGATCTGTGATTTTATGTACTTTTCCTTAGATGAGGCTAAATATAAAAGTAATGATTTAGGGTAAAAATTAAGTATGTATAGTTGTCATAAGAATATGGCAAAAACCACGAAGAGATGACAAAATTATGGAAGTCTGCTTTTAGAATCTATGGCTTATGACTTTTCAGCTGGACACTCCACATGTGGGTCAATACTAAATCAAAAGTCAGGTCAGAACCAGGTCAAGCTGAAAGATGGACTCCAGAACACATCTGGCGTAAGTAAGAAGCATGCACATTCTGATATCTGAGTGTTATCACAGGAAATGCCAAACGTGAACTGAGCAGGAACAAGGGTCAGATCCCATGGCTGTATGCAAGGTCACAGCCAAACTGACAGGAACTATCTAGGAGACAAGGTGTCCTCCCCAGGAAGGGTGTGTGGCAGGCCCCGCTTCATTCCCCCTCAGCTTTAAAGGCGCGCAGGCCTGGAATCTGATACTGTTTTCCCCTAGAGGCAATTATTTCTCAGTTTACTATTTCTGTGTAAGGCTTTCTTTTGTGCACATCTGAAGGGCCAATGGGTCTCTACCCAATATCTCAATTTCCCGGCAAACTGAAGAGACTGTTGCTGCTATTATCAAAGGAGCCTTTCTCTGAGTCCCTCTTCCCAGGCCCAGTGTTAGGATGAGAACACAATCCTGTCATTTTGGAGTGGAATATACAATGAATTTTCCCCTATGAAAAAATGTAATAAATAGAAAATAGATTTTGATGAAGTAGTACAAATAATGTTTCATATATGTTGCAGGTTATATAGGGTTCTGCAAGCTAGACTGGGAACCAGATTACCAATCTATACTACCAACTCACTGGGGAAATGTATTAACACTATGAAATAAAAATTTCCATAGGGGGTGACTACCTATACTTACAAATACAGCAAATTCCTTACTAGTGAATGTTTAACACTATATAGCTTAAATTTTATATTTATTTTCACATTATCCCTTACTAGTGAATGTTTAACACTATGTAGCTTAAATTTTATATTTATTTTCACATTTTTCAGAAGAAAATTGGTTTTGTCATCAATTATGAGTGGTGTTCACGTCTTGTACTATTGAAAAATAACTAATCACACTCCTGCCATAACAAAAGGACTCAATCTTTACATTTGAGGACAATTCTTGACAAATAAATGCAATTCCAATAAACATTTCTCTAATCAATTCCCAGCTACACCAAGTTATTCCTGGGATTAACTGAAATGACAGTCCTAACTCACACCCTGCAATATTGACAGAAACTGTTTTGACCATAAGCCTTTAACCCAATGTTTTCCACATGTGTCTGATGAAAAGAATTACACGAGGCGCTTTAAAAAAGAAGAATGCCTGGCCTCAGCCCAGTAAAGAATTAGACTTTCAAGGGAGAACCTGAGAGCTGAACATTTAAAGCAGGGGTGGGGAACGTCCGGCCCACGGGCCATATAAGGCCCTCAAAATCATTTGGTTTGGCCCTGCCAAGGCATTAGGGGTGAGTCAATTAAATATTTGATCAAATATAGCAGGCTAATTTTTTTAAAAAAATATATATTTTATTGATTTTTTACAGAGAGGTAGGGAGAGAGATAGAGAGTCAGAAACATCGATGAGAGAGAAACATCGACCAGCTGCCTCCTGCACATCTCCCACTGGGGATGTGCCTGCAACCCAGGTACATGCCCTGGACCGGAATTGAACCTGGGACCCTTCAGTCCGCAGGCCGACGCTCCATCCACTGAGCCAAACCGGTTTCGGCAGCAGGCTAATTTTTAAGTCGATAATTTTGTATGGCCTGTGAATGATGTTATAAATAGCCAAACGGCCCTTGGCAGAGAAAAGGTTCCGCACCCCGGATTTAAAGAATGCCCATCCCTGGTGATCCCGTCATCCAACACAGTGGTTCTTACCATGGAGGGTGAGTGAGGATCATCCGGAGGGCTTGTTAACGCACAGGCTGCTGGACCCTAGCCCTAGAGCTTCTAATCCAATAGTTCTGGGGTGGGGCCTCAGACTCTGTGTTTCCCACCAGGTCCCCAGTGATGCTGCTGCTGCTGGTCCAAGGACCACGCTTCCAAAACCACTTCAGACAAACCTCAGGGATATTGCGGTCCGGTTCCAGACCACTGCAATAAACCGAATATTGCCAGTAAAGCGAGTCATAATCTTTTTGCTGGTGGGAAGGTCTCGCCTTAAATTTGTAAACAAAAAGCAACATCTGACTTGTATGCATGTATGCATAACCCATGGACACAGACAATAGGGTGGTAGAGGCCTGGGTTAGGGGGTGGGGGAGGGCTATAAGGGGTCAATGGGAGAAAAAAAGGGGACATATGTAATACTTTCAACAATAAAGATGAAAAAACAACATCTGTGAGCTCAATAAAAGGAGATATGCCTGTATGCAGCCTGCCTGGCAAAACACTGCAATTCAATATTATGTTTTATCTTCCCTCTTTGGTAGAAAAACAACATTGGATTAGAGCTCACAGAGTTCCTTTGGAATCGTACCCCTGCTACTTTTTTTTTTTTAAGCTGCTTGACATTAGACAAATAAATTTACCACAATACCTCACTTGTCTCTTATTGTGCGGAATCAAAAGATAACATAATGGAAGAGGTTTGGTCCTGAACTTGGCACACAGTAGGCCTGCATTACACATCTGTGTACTTTGATCTCCTTGCCATGATCCCCTCTTGTGAGCTACAGAAACATCTGCTGAGTTCTAGAAATAGGTCTCAAAATGTATTATATGCACAAAACTTCATTTGGTTCAAACAAACAAACAAGCAAGCAAACAAGCAATGGCTGACCACTTCTTCTTGTGAGCGATCATGTAGCTTCATTTTGAACATTACATGTCCAATGGGAATATATACTCAGCTTTTCAACTCACATTTTCCCATGGAAGTAAAAATAGAAAACAAGGAGAGATTAGATTACAATTAGGTTCTCTGTTTAATTTTGACCAGGCTGAATTTAGTACCTAGGTAAGAATTATTTTCCTGGCAGATCTTCATTATATTGTTTGGTTATTTCTTATATCCTGAAAATCAAACAAATCACAGACTCTTGGAGTCAGAGGAGCCCTGAGGTCATCCAACCCACCCACTCTGTGAATTCCACTGAGAACACCTCCGGGTGGTGGTCCAGCCTCTTCTTGGACACCTAATGAGAATGCACTATTTTCACGAACCCCAACCTCTTCTTCATTAGATCCCCCCCCCGATTCTGAGCCAAAATCTTTATTTCTGTAATTTTAATATCTTTGGTCCTCGTCCTGCTCACTCTCCTGCCCGAATATGCCTAATCTCTCCTCCACATGACAGCATTTAAAGCAGCGGTTCTCAACCTGTGGGTCGCGACCCCTTTGGCGGTTGAACGACCCTTTCACAGGGGTCGCCTAAGACCATCCTGCATATCAGATATTTACATTATGATTCATAACAATAGCAACATTACAGTTATGAAGTAGCAACGAAAATAATTTTATGGTTGGGTCACAACATGAGGAACTGTATTTAAAGGGCCAGAAGGTTGAGAACCACGGATTAAAGCATTCTGAAATAGTGTTGACATCTTCCTTGCCTGTTCCTCTTCAGCCTAAACATTGTGTGTTTTTTTCTCACCATCAAAATTTCCACATACTTAGCCCAGGTCCTCTTCCTGTGGACACAGTCCACCTTGAAGCTATTTCCTCACTGAAAAATACCATCAACATGCTTCATGTTCACTATGTCCTATTATCACCAACAAAACAAAACAAATTGTACTGTAGCGCGTTTTTCTAGAGTTCCTAGAGCTGGAAGGCACAGTCAGACAACAGGATGCCATAAGGACTAGAAGGGGGTTCAGGGCTGGCCTGGTCATGGCAGCCTGAAGCAGGTGGATCTGGGAACTGTGACCCTATGTGAAACAGAAAGGCTGTGTGCTGCTTCTTAAATGACCCAAGACCCAGCCAGTTTCTTTCCAAGGAAGAGAGAGGGAAACAAAGGCATTTCTTACTTTCTACGAAACATTTCTGCGAATATGCAGCCGACACTCCAGAGGTCCACGGGGGTGGCGTAGCTGGACTGCAGCAGGACTTCGGGGGCCCGGTACCACAGCGTGACGACCTGCAACGGCAAATGGGCCGAGCGTTACTGAGGGAGACGGCTGTTTGCTTTGATTCCTCATCCCGGGTGGCTTCATGCCAAGATTCGATTCCGAAAGATCAGATGAGGACACTGCGATAGAAGCCATAGGTAACGAGGACTCATCGCTGACAGGCCAGGAAATGACATCACCACCACAACCTGGGTTCTTACCTCAGACTCTGCATGTCTTACTAGGAGGGTATCAAAGCAAAGACTTTAAAAAACTGCCTTAAAGGGATTACCTTTTTCTTAAGGGGCTTACAAAAACAATACATGTAGTATTGGCAATGACTGCAGCTCAATTCCCAGGTCAGCATTACTGGGAAGTTAGAAGATGATTCCAGTGGCTGCTGGATGTGACTCTGCAGTCTAGAGAGCACCCTGGATAAGTCAAAACTTCTCTGATCACGAGACTCTGGGGAATTAAAATAAAGCCTCCTTCAATGCTGATCTTTTCAGAAAACAAATTTAAAAAAGTAAGAACTTAAGAGACATGTGTAACTCAATTGTTTATACCAGGTGCAAAAAATTCATCCAGAGGAAGGGATTCCCAAATGGGAAGAACCCCGCTTGATACAGAGCCCTGTATAATAATAGATGAAACACAACTGTAATTATTTCTACCAGGTTGAGAGATGAGGAAAGCATATCATTAAGGCTTCAGATTTATAAGAGCACGTAAGGGTTCAAGGCTTCTTTCTGGGAGGAGCAGACATTTTATGGATGCCTGGAATGAAGGTGTGTTCTTTACTGTTAGATAAGAAATGCAACACACACATATCTATTACATAAGCCTTTTATATTATTCACATTCCTTTTATCCTTACTTATTGTTTTGTCTAATTGTATTTTTGCTGATGTCTAAATTTCCTGATATTCTGCTTTATGTATTTTGATGGTAGAGGACTTGGCACATTAAGATTACAGTAATAAGTCTCCAAAACTGGCTGCCATCAATTTCCTTCTCTCCTTGTATGTACACATTGCTTCTTTCATCAGAGGATGGAGTCTAATCCACTTTCCACTGAATCTGAGCTGGCCTTGGGTGGTGGAAATGACATCTGAGACTACCACAACTAGGTAGGTCACAGGAATTCTGGCAGCCTGAACCTGGCTGAATGCTTGCTTTTGAGATGCTTCCTCTGAGAACCCAGCTGCCTTGCAGTGAGAAGCCCACAAGATGTTCCGGTCGACAGCTTCAACTGAGATCTCAACCAACAGCCATAGGAGTGGACCACCTTGATGTTCACGCCCACTTGATCCTCTAGAATCTAGGGTCTAGATGACTGTGTCCCCTGCCATATCACTTGGAGGAGGAGAACTATCCAGCTGAGTCCAGTCAACCCACAGAATTGTGAGTGATAATAAAATGGTGGTTGTTTTAAGTTTTGGGGTAATAATATAGCAATATCTAATGAGATTCTTGACTGGTTCCTCTTCTTCATCTCATTTAGCATGTTTTGCTTTGAATTCATGCAAGGAGTCAAGTTTTATTTAAGGCAGGGGTGGGGAATGTCTGGCCCCAGGGCTGTATAAGGCCCAAGAAATCATTTGGTCAGGCCCTGCCAAGGCCTTAGGGGCGAGTTAATGAAATGTTTGACTAAATATAGCAGACTCATTTTTAAGTTGATAATTCTATATGGCCCGCAAATGATGTTATAAATAACCAAATGGCCCTTGGGCAGAAAAACAGTTCGCCACCATGGTTTAAGGAATAGCTGGTTGATATCTAAGGGAGAGATGGTGGTGATGTAATAGAAATTAAGAAAGAAAACAAATGGATCCACAATACCTAAACAATGTGACTCAGTTATCATTTGGTTCCCACAGTATGTCCATATTCCCTACAGTTGCGTCACATATGAGACCACACCACGGGCTCTCAACCCTAACTGCACACCAGTCATTCATGGGGCTTTTAGGAAAACATAGGTGGCTGGGCCTTTTCTCACCTTCACTGAGTTAAGGTTTCCATGGGGGGGCCCCTGGAGTTTTTCTTTTTCTTTTCTTTCTTTCAAATAAAAAATTCTTCAGGAAACCGTAACCCTTGGCTAGGTTTGAGCACCACACCTTTCAATGACAAACACATATCCTCCAGCTTATGCCTCCATCCTTTTATTGACACTTCTCCTAGGCTGGAGAGCTCTTCTTTCTCCTCTTCACACGTGGAAATTCTACTTAGTCCAGAAAGCCCAGCTTTGATGCCATTACCTCCCTGAAACCACTGCCACCTGAAAATCATACCTTGTAACATAGTTCATAAAAACTATGGTTCATTCTAGAGGGTGTGGACCCAATATTATCCATTGTTATGTCTACCACAATACTGTGCAGGTTGTAATTGGAGTTTAACAAATATAAAATTAACGACTTCAAGGCAATCATTCCTAGAAGATAACTGGGCAAAATTCAATTACCAGTCATTCCCAAAAAAGAAGGTACTTACTACTTTTGGTGAGTAGAATGTCCAGTTCTGAGCGCTAGCTTTTAGTTATAATTAATTTCTGCTTTACTAATATTTTTAGCTGGAGGAACACTTCCTTCCCTACTTCTCTGATGCACTGTCAACAGAAATGCAGGTGCAAACTGTCCATAAAGTTCCACTTGAGTGGTTTTGAGACATACACAGACACTATGAGGTCACATACTCTTCTCACCTCAATATGAAATAAAGTCTAGCATCATATAAGATGAAAAGTTCAATCTGAACATAGCATTGTTTTAGGCTGTTCTAAAGAGGCTGTGGTTTCTGATTGATTATGCATCCCAAATCATTTTAGTGATACTAATTACAATTCTCAAATAAATGTTTAACAGCTTAAAATAAGAACAATATTGATATGTTTAAGAAGTTCCCTTCCATTCCTTTTTATTTTTTCTGAAAGAGAGGAGGGGGGAGAGAAACATCAATCAGTTGTCTCTCATGTGCCCCCATCATGGATCAAATCCACACAACCTGGGTATGTGACCTGACTGGGAATCGAACCAGCGACCCTTTGGAGCATGGGATGATGCTCCAACCAACTGAGCCACAGGGTGCTTCCATGCCTGTTAAAATTTAGGTACTATTCAAAATGGATAATGAATCCAATGTCTTAAAAATGTTTATTAATAATGACCATTCTGTTTTATTCTATTATAATATATTGATTACATTAATAAATTTCCTAATATGTACCATCCTTGCTTTCTTAGAATAAATCATTCCTAATCATGGTTTATTATCCTTTTAATAGTCTCTTGAATTCTATTTCCTACTATTTATTTAACATATTAACATATATATATATAAATGAGACTGATTCATAGTTTTGTTTTTTTGTGTTAAGTTTTCATGTTTTGATATTAGGGACATGCAAGCTTTCCATCTTTTTCTATATTCTGAAATGTTACAAACAACGTAATAATCAGTCCCTTCAAGGGATTTACTTGTAAAACCATCTGGGTCTGGATCTTTCTTAGTAGCGTCTTTAACAACCTTGTAAATGTCTTCTTGGTAATTAGTTTCAACCTCTTTTGAATCATTTGCTAATGATAACAAATTTCCCTATGAAAATATTTAATTTAGATTTTAAAATGTATTGGCTTAAATTTTGTACATGGTATTTCCTAATATCATCAGTTTTCTTGGTTTTCTGAGAAAAATATGACTTTTCTCTTAATGTTGTATATTTTTGTTTTTGCTTTATATCAGTCCGTTTGTCAATTTAGCCATATAATTTATTAAAAAAAACTGACATGGAGTTTTATTTCTATTTTGGGAGGATTATTGTTTTATTTTATAATTAGTTGACTTCTTTTTTTTCTTTTTTGTTAATCTTTAAATAAAATTTCATTTTATTAATCTTTGAATAATATGTAATTTAAAGACAAAATATTTAAATAATCTATAATTATTTTCTTAAAAAAGTAAATTAATTTGAAGGACAAATTATTTAGAAAAGTGTCTTAAAATTTCCATATGGTCATAAAATTTCCATAAAATTAATCATTATTTATGGTTATCCTTTAATTGCTGGATTTCTAATTTTATTGCATCATAGTCAAAGAATGTAACCTTTTCAATTTCCACTTGGTAGAATTTATTATTGTTTTCTTAATACTACCCACATACTTGGTTTTTGTTCCATAAGGTATAAGGGGAACTTTTAAGTATAAAGTTCTTTATTAACAAGATCCTTACTTATATTTTTCTATATTTTATTTGTCAAACTCTAAAAGAGAATTTGCGTTTTTGTTTTCCTTCCCCCAGAATCTCCTGGTGTTTCTAAGAGTTTCTGCCTTATACACATTGGACTATGTTTTTGGTAAATAAAATTTATGACAAGAAAAATACTATGATGATAAGAAGTATTTAGATGATGGTAGATATAAAATATAAAATAAATACACAAATCCTAATAAGCCAGTTACAAAATATAATGAGAAAAAGACCCCATCCATAATAGTAACAAAAATGTAAAACACCGAGGAATTAAGAAAAGTACTATTTATATAAGTAATATGATATATTATTGTTAAAGAACATAAAAAAACAAAATGGGAAGAGAGACCATGACTAAGATGGGGAAAAGTCATATTATAAAGATAATAGTTACTCATATATTAACACATAAAAAATATATAAGACAAACCAATGATTTTGTTTAGAAATTAATTTAGAAAATAATGCACTTCTGGCTGAATAATGTTTCATAGTTTGAGAAATGAGGATGAAGAGCATTTGCTCTCTGTTACCAAAATATACTCTAAGGTACCACAAATAAAATGGTGGTCCTAACAGATTAAAAAAAGAGTAAATTCCAGAAAGAGACTGATATGTTAATGGGGTTTAAAGTTCTTATAGCTGCTTATTTCCTCTGAGTGAGAGAGAAAATATACTTCAATAGGGGAAAGTAAGACCACTGGTAATCCATTTGGAAGAAAATAAGTTTGATCCCTACTTTACACCATCTACAAGAATCTATTAAGAAGAAACT